ATATTTCAAATCTAACACCGAAAAATATAGCGTACCCTTTTTGTTTTCGGTTACAATCTGGCTTACCCCATCAATAAATTCGTCTACGTTCGGCATTTGGTATTTGTTTTTAAACAATTGTCTATTGATTGGTTTCGCGTCCATTGCCAATTTTATTGAGTCGTCCTTCTTTACTGTTATCACAATCGGGGCGATAAAGCAATCACTTGTACACTTATCAAGTTTTGTTATATGACCTTCTGTCAATAACTTCTCGATTTCTTTTTCGACTTTATCTTGTATATGAATTGGGATTCTTCTCCCCTTTTCTTGTATCGGACATAGTGGGTATTTGAATTTTGAACTGGCGATGTGGTTTTTAGAAATGCCTTGCCTTTCAAATAAGTTCTTAAATTTATTGAAAAATTTTTCTTTCCAACCTTCCGACTGCTCGCACATGAGCACGTCAAACCTGGTGAGTTCTTTTGGCGCTGTTCTTTGTGTAGTCACTATTCCCACTTGTCCTTGCAAGTCTAATCCCATGATGCATCTAGTTTTTCGCTCTGATACCAGAAAGGTTGCGCCCTTAACTTCCCAGCCCGCTGACCTCAGATTGGTTTTTAGGGCTCCCAGGATACTGATCGGTTGTTTGTTGTAGTCCACAAATTTGGTTTGTAAATTCAATTTGTCGGACGGTATGAATCTCACTTTGTTTGATTTTTCCATGATTTCTTTCGTCGTTGCCCAGTTAAGAAATGAAACAGGACTACCAGTATCCACTGTTAGTTGAATAATCTGGTTATCTATTCGTACCATAGCCTTTAGTGACTTTACGCGGTTCAATGTTGGATCTCGAATAGAGTCTATTTTCTGAACTCTAACCACTTTTCCGTTTGTTTCTTTTCTCATTTCATTGATTCGATCTTTCACATATTTTGAAACTCGTTCATTTTCCGGTAAATGGGTATGTATCAACATGACTTCAAATTCACTACATGACCCAACACCTTCACTGATCTGGTCGCATTCCACTATCGATTCTTCCGAATCTTCCGCAATTTCACTTACTTGTTGTGATCTGCACATTTTAGCGAAATGATTCGGTTTACCACAGTTTTTACAGTCCTCTCCCATCGCTGGACAGTTTTTTAGGTGTCCTTGTTCAAACATCCTTCCACATCTATTACATGGTTTCGTTTTCGTGTTTTGATTTTTGTTATTATTCTGTCTGTTATTATTTTCTCTTCTATTTGGAGTTTTGGTTTTCCCCCCCAAATTTCGTACTGCCATTACAGGTTCCTGTTTTATTCTTACACCCGATGTGTAATTGCTACTTGATCCTCCTGCAGCCGCAGCATTAGTCTTTTGAAATGCCATTGTGGTTAACTTGCTATGTTCGAATTTTATAGCTCTTTTTAGAACTTCCTCTGGATCCAGAGTTTCGAATGTCAACGTATCCTGTAATGTCATGTTCTTCATCTTTGAGATGAATAAGTCTCGCACTATTTCATTTTCCAATGTTCCTAGTTCTGATCTGGCTGCCTGAGCAGTTAACGCTGCGTGAAATGATTCTAGAGATTCTCCAGATTCTTGCATTCTCGTAAATAACTTGTATCTCTCGTAGGTTACACATTTCACTTTTTGAAACGAGACTTCTGCCAGATCTGTTACTTCTCTGAACGTCATTTTTGATATTTCTGCGTGCGGATTCTTCTGTAGGAATCTTTTCTTTCCCTCAGTGCCCAAAAGATAGAAATAGTCGTGACACCAGTTTCTTTTGTACTTCGTTGTAGAAGACATTGTGTCCAACTCTTGGGCCTCTTGTTCTTTTCTCTTCGTTCTCCAATGCTACTCTGTCTCTTGCTAGTTTATCTCTAAGGATTCTAGCGTTCCTCGCATCTTCGTTCTCCCCATCCCTGGGCGTTTCCGGGCGTGGTGGTGGTTCCTCTAATATGTCTTTTGGTTCTTCCAAAATAATCTCTGGGTTCACATTTTCTTTTACCGTAACCGCCATGAGAAATTGTTCGAACCAAATTTTAAATTGCCACGGAGGGTCTAAATTCGCTGATGCCCAAAATACCGGGATTCCCATATCCGTTCTGTTGTCTTGAGCTGCGAATCCTGCTGGCTGCGCCATGTGATATGCGTTGCGATATCAAATTGAAAACAAGTTGGAATTCAATACTTTATTTAGAAGATTGAATTTAGATTTTCTCTTTTCTTTGTTTTCTTATGTACTGAGAGATAGATCGTTGTTAAGTACTCTGATCTCTCACTTAGTCTCAGTGTCATCACTTATGTATGACCTTGAGCGTACATAAAATAATGATTTAACACCAGAGGTTGGCTGTACATCCGTATAGTGAGTACTGCTACTGCAGTAGCGGTATGACACCCCACTAACTCACTGAACAAACAGATGTTTGCGAAAACACCCAAAATTTAGTCAATATTGGTGTTGTTTTGGGGAATAAAAGGGACTAACTACCTTGACACAAATCATATTTGATGTTTTTTCAAAAGCTGAAAAACTTCGTTTCGCTTATCAGCTGAGCTTCGTCGATAAAATCGTAAAAAATGGTTCATTTTGAGCAAACAAAACGGACCGCCAGAACCTTGCCAACATACCATAAAACAAATAGATAAAATTTGACTCAGCAAGATGATATCTTCATTAAATCACTAAAAGTATTTGTTCAAAACTATGTCAATTCCTAAATTGGTCGGTTTATAAACAAATGACCCGAACATTTATACCTCCAACTGAAATGCATTTTTTTTAAATTACAAAAAATGAAGAAGTTATATTTCTTGCTCACAATAAAACTCAGTTTAAATAAGCACACCTTGAGTACCCAATCTTCTTGTACAAAAAGCAACTTGAGAATACTATGGGATGCAGACTCCCGCACAATTACCGCATAATCAGTTTTTTTTTTAAAACTGAAAATAGTCTACGAAGGTATTAGAGGCGAAGTTAACAGATTTCAGTTTTTTAATGAAATACTTTGGTAGAGTAAAAAAATGTAAAGAACCAAATATAAGTAAAATCAGATTGAGTTTTGAGGTTCAACTATACGTTTAATCATTTCAATGTATTATTTTGAAAAGCTAGGATTTTAGAGGAAAAGATTCTTGAGGCTTCTAAAAATAAAGTGTTTAGGCTCGCAAAACATGTAAAACGTTTTGATAAGCTTGTGCTTTAAAAGAGTTTGAACCCCAGTTTGAACCAAATTTAACTAAAATTTGTTGGCTGAGAATTTTTGTTTTGTTTTATAAACAGAGGTCTAGCGGAACTTCTCTTCACCTACGAAAAAACAAGAAGATAACATATTGATAGAAAAGGAGAAGCCTATTGACAGAAAATGAGACAATGTTGAGGCAAACTTGCTTATTAATGCAAGTGACAGTGTGGAATGAGCATGAAAACAAAGTATCAACAGCAAAAAATAAGCTAAGACTTCAGCAAGCAGACATCAGTTGAGCCAAAAAAACTTGTGTGGGAATATTTCGAGCTATCAGACAATTTGAATGTTGAAAATTCGATTCAACTAAGCTTAAGCGCATTGAAAAGTGATTTCACTATCAAACGACGCAGTATAAATCGATCTTGTGTAACTTGAGCTTTTTATAACCAGTACAGCAAAAGCGAATAAATGAAAGAAAAAAAACTAACCGGAGCTGATAGTTTTATCACTAAAAATAGAAAGGGCTTTTGGAATTTTGAATAGAACGGGCATTTAAAATGCCGACTTGCTCAAAATGTGCCTGTTGTTGACAAAATCACAGAGTTTACCAATTGATTCATCTAAGTTTGCTCTACAATTTTCAACATCTTCTGGATAGGCGCACAATTTTGTGTCTGCAGGTTCCTGGATTCCAGAGACAAGTCTTTAAACATGCTGAAATTTTGTCGCAACAATCAAAGGAAATGAAAGAACAAAAGAAGAACAAAGGGAGCACAGTTTGGCCTCGTAATGAATTTTTTTCAGGTTCAAAAAAAACTCCTCATACGACGCATAAATGTCTAATACCACCTAATATTCTATTTAAATTGGTTCAAAACACTCCTCTCAGTTAGATGAGTATTTTTCATGAATTTTAATTCTAACGTAAGTTACCTTAACTTTTGAAGATACAGCTTACGTCAACTGTTTTTTTTAGATAGAATTAATTTAAGGCATCCTTTTTTCATAAATCCCCGTGTTGACCAAAAGTCCTAATTAAACAAATTTCATATATTGAAAAATGCTGAATAATAAACTTATCATGCAATTTTATTAGCACAAAAATTTGCGAAAGGTCTATGATAAGTGATTTTTCTTAAATACAATCTGTATGGCTAGCATTTTTCCATAAACCAAATTTTTTTTCATTTTATTCAATTTTTCTCAAAGTTTTTCGGATGTGTTCGTCGCCAAATACAAGGGACAAAATCAATGGTTTACTAAAAACTAGAGTCAAAAAAGTTTGATTGTCTTGCATTTATAATGCATTGGAAATTACCCGAATTGTCTTAGAGTTGCTTTACACATATAAAAATGATATAATAAAAAATTCAAACTTTTAAGTTAAGACAAAATTTTTCAAAAATGATCATTTTCAAATCAGGCATTGAATAAACCATACATAAACATTCCATACAAAAAAGGACTACGTCAAGAAAAATTTTGAAAGTTCGTTGATTTTACTTTAGCAAAAAGTATGAAACTTCTACTGGTAACATTTTTTTTTCATATACTTTTTATGTAATTGTATGGTTAGCGATGTTGGTCTATGGAGGTCGACCCGCGTTACCTTTAGTCATTAAAGGTAGCTTTACCTCTAACTTTTAGAATGCACTGAAATTCTGAAACAGTATCTGAGTTAGTGAAAACATGTTATGTCTCACACAGAAATAGGAAAAAATCTTAAAACCAAATCAATTATGGCCACTAAAATGTTTCAAAGAATACAAACCATTCCGAGAGGCCTCTGTCTTAATTTTATCGTGAAAAAAAAATTCATAAGAACTGACTTACCATATTTTAAGGTGTTAAATTATCTGAATCTCTAATTATTTTCTTAGTTTCACTTCTGCGTAACTAAACGAAAGTCCAGAGAAGTAACCAACAATTATACGCCCACTCTGATCTTTCTCAGTACTTTTTAACAAACTCTAGAAACAGAAAAGCATAAACAACTAAATTTATAAATAATTATATGTCTGAGAGCGGATACAAGTGTTCAGAAGTTTCTTAAAATTACTACAATGCAGACTGGCACAAAGATGAAGGTGCGAAATCAAAGTTAGAACGAAAATAATACACTATCATATTTTTAAACAGCATGATTTTTGATAAATTTTGCAAGCTTACAATAGCCGCGAAGTTTAAAAAGCACCCCACAGTTAAAAAGTTGAAAAGCTGAAAAATTAATCGAACTTTGTCTTAACTTAACAACTATATGTGATATCTGTTTGATCAATCAACTACAAAAAATACAAATACACGATTCTAGCAGCTTACCAGTTTAAGAAGTTAAGCAAGTTTATCGCATGCGACTGCGATTACATCAAAAAGCAGCAAGTTAATCAATTATTATAGACCTGCTATGAATGAACTGCGAAAAAGCTAATAACTGATTTGCATCCAATTATTATTTCAAAGCAAATTCTGTTCTTAAATCCTTGAGTATGTTTAAAAATCTGCATGATGATGACACTAAGCTGATAATCTTGCCTTTAATTCACTTACAAAACTGATTGTTGTTTTCTATCACTACCCATCAGTGCAAAAACAGGCAGATCAAATTAGCCTTTTTATTAACCGGGTCGAAGTGCTCACTTTTGAAAGTTACCAAATTTTGGAATCTTTCGACCATCACGACCAAATTGTAGGCATTTTTCGACCGTGGTCGACCGAAAAAAAGTGTGCTCGACTGTGCTTGACCCTTGCAAAATATAATTCGAATGAGCGCGACCGAAAAAAAATATGCTCTACATATTTCGACCCGAGCGAGATATGTTCCGACCGTCTCGACGAAACTCGTGCATGTTTCGAATTTCAAATAACATGAGATATCCAAAACAAAACTTTTTAATTTATGCTTTTCAGATAATGTATTTCAGAATGTTGTAGAGATGAACTGTTTCTGAGCTAATTTTTTTTCATCCTATGGATATTCTGGTTTTCAGTTTGAGTCAAAAGCATTAACAAATACGTTATTATTCGAAGAAACGTTTGTTTTTGACTCCGATATACAGCGGACAATCGGTATTTGTCAACCGTTCTTGAGGTATATTTTAATCATGCTCGCGTTGATCATGACCGCATTCTGATATATTTTGACCGTGCTCCAGATATATTTGTTCCGACTTTCGATACGAAAGTAACGGAATATTTGTGCTCGGCGTGGGTTTTTTTTCTTCAGACAAATTTCGACTTTTTAACTAGCCATTTTTGACGGAATTTTTTATATCATTCGAAAGCCATTGTTGTCTTGAGCTTGAATTTGAAAAGATACTTTACCTGTGATCATTTTTCGTAAAGTTATGAGGGTTAAAAGATTGCCATTTTGACCAATTTGGGACAATTAACGCGCGATATAATTCGCGCTATTAACGCGTAAGCGGAGATTTAATCCGTCTTAGAAATCGTTCCAAATTGGTTGAGCGAAGCTTATTTGCCATAATTGATTTGTTACAAGGAACGAAATTCATCTTTTTGTACTTATATGGCGTGTGGTGTGATGATTTTTATTTAAAAAATTCAAATTTTAGAAAAAAAAATTTTCATTTTAATTTATTTCATTTAATTTTTTATGTTATTACTGCTGCTCCATAAATCTTAAAAGGCAGTCGGAACACTCAGGGCTTCGCCCTGATACGAGCAGTCTTGTTCGAGTTTAGGTTTGACCTACTCCCCTGTCTCGAACAGTGAAAAAATCATAAACTAATCGGCATTTCCTCAGATTCAAAATTACCCAGTATTAAAAGAATCTAAAATTACAAATTTGAGAACTGGCAGTCCTTCCCACACTGACAATAATGGTTTCGGATCGATTTATTGTTCCGACTTTCGATACGAAAGTAACGGAATATTTGTGCTCGGGGTGGGTTTTTTTTAATTCAGACAAATTTCGACTTTTTACCTAGCCATTTTTGACTAAATTTTTTTATATCATTCAAAAGGTATTGTTGTCCTGAGCCTAAATTTGAAAAATATTTCACCTGTGATCATTTTTCGTAAAGTTATGGGGGTTTAAAGATTGCCATTTTGGCCAATTTGGACAATTAACGCGCGATATATTTCGTGATGTTAACGCGTAAGCGGAGAGTTAATCCGTCTTAGAAATCGTTCCAAAGTGGTTGAAAGAAGCTTATTTGCCCTAATTGATTTGTTAATAAAAACAAAATTTATTGTTTTGTACTTTATATGGCGTGTGTGGGGATGATTTTCAAATTTTCGAAAATAAAAATGTTCATTTCATTTTATTTCGTTTAATTTTTTTATGTTGTTTATGTTAATGCTACATAGCATTAAAGTATGAAAGTATAGTATAAAGCCAGTATAGTTGCTTATCAATATCAGCTATATAGCTCACCGTTACATAGTGCGTTCCGGGGAGTTCGGCGTGGGTTCGATTCTCACCTAAGTCGTTTCATTTGAGAATCCTATTTGAGCCGAACCTGACAGAACATAAAATGCTAATATTTTAATCGGTTCAAAATTGGTTTGCAATTGAGTTTCTGTTAATTAAACTGCGTGAACTAAGTATGAACTCATTGTGAAAAAACACATAAATCACACAAATCAGGGCATGAACAAGCCCACTTTTTAACTTGATACGTGTAATGTTGTTGCTAATTCCGTGCAATAAAAAATTACTAAAATTCGCCGTTTATTGATTCTCTTGAATTAAACCGATTCTGTTTCCTGTTTTTATAAGTTATAAAAAAGGCCAGAATATTTTGGTTCCGCGACTCGGGAATACACAACTGAGGACCGATTCGAACACAATTTAATGCGAGCTCGAATTGAATCAAGGAACGACCCCTGCACAAGTTTGTGAGACCTCCATCTGCAAAGCAAGGAGCCCTGCGCACTTTTGTGTGACTTCAGTTTTTGAATTTTTGAAAGAAGGCCCAGCTCGAACACAATTTTAGGCGACCTCAAATTGAAGCAAGGAACGACCCCTGCACAATTTTGTGCGACCTCAAATTGAAGCAAGGAACGACCCCTGCACAATTTTGTGCGACCTCAAATGGAAGCAAGGAACAACCCCTGCACAATTTTGAGCGACCTCATTCTCCAAATCAAGGAGCCCTCCACAATTTCGTGTGGCCTCAAGCCAAAAACGGGGAAAGCACCACAAGTCAAAACAAAGCCGACAAGCCAGAAGGCCGACATCACACAAGGCGGAAAGTGGTTTTTCTGTGGAATCTTCGTGTACTTTTGGACTCAGGCCAGGTGAACAACCTGCAAAAAACTTGTAAGATCGAACCTGTGCTTTCAACTAACTTTTAGACTCTAATTTGTGCTAGTTTTTTAACCAAAAAAAAACTACTTTTTTGATTATCAGTGCTATAAAATTACATACGATGTTGTTAATTGCAAACCAATTTAGACCGTACTAGATACCTAATCCTAGTTCATACCCAGTACCCTATTACCCCAGGATTATCTCACAAAATATTCTGGCCTTTTTTATAACTTATAAAAACAGGAAACAGAATCGGTTTAATTCAAGAGAATCAATAAACGGCGAATTTTAGTAATTTTTTATTGCACGGAATTAGCAACAACATTACACGTATCAAGTTAAAAAGTGGGCTTGTTCATGCCCTGATTTGTGTGATTTATGTGTTTTTTCACAATGAGTTCATACTTAGTTCACGCAGTTTAATTAACAGAAACTCAAGTGCAAACCAATTTTGAACCGATTAAAATATTAGCATTTTATGTTCTGTCAGGTTCGGCTCAAATAGGATTCTCAAATGAAACGACTTAGGTGAGAATCGAACCCACGCCGAACTCCCCGGAACACACTATGTATACGCTGAGCTATATAGCTGATATTGATAAGCAACTATACTGGCTTTATACTATACTTTCATACTTTAATGCTATGTAGCATTAACATCCTCCACGCCCGAAGGAGCGAGAACCGGAACGAGCTTAACGAGCGGACGAGTGTAGTTTCCGGAAACGGTCCTTAGGTTTGCGGAACGGGCGGTGTTGTCTTTGCCGTAGTTTAACGACGTTATGCGTGCTAGTGGGTAGTGGCCCCTAGGGCTAGTGGATTCAACTAACCACAACATATCTCCCGTTTTCAAAGAGTATTCGGGAGGAGCATGCCACTTAACTCTTTTATTGAGTGTAAGGACGTACTCACTTAACCATCGCTGCCAACTTGCGTTTGCGTACGACTGCGCACGGGCATAGCGCTTAGAGTGAGAATAGTTTTCACTCGACCTTAGAGACGGAAACGTTAGACTGTGCTGACCTAAGAGGAAATGATTCGGCGTCAAAGCCTCAAGACTATCGGGGTCGTCAGAAACGGGAGTGAGTGGACGGGCGTTTAGTGAATCTTCAACTAGGCACATGGTTGTGTTCAAAATCTCTTCAGTCAACTTTCTTGACCCCAAGATTGCATAAAACACACGCTTACAACTGCGCACCATTCGCTCCCATGCTCCACCTTGATGTGGTGCACTTGGCGGATTATACTTCCACTTAATGCCTTTGTGTACGAGCGACAGTGGAGCTTCTGGGTTCCAATTTTTGTTGCACAGAAGAAGCTCTTTTTCGGCTCCTACAAAGTTTGTTCCGTTGTCCGACCAAATTATTGAGGGTGTTCCTCGCCTAGAAATAAAGCGCTCGATAGCCATCACACATGAGTTGTGTCCATGGATGGAACCAACTCAATGAGAATTGCTCGAGTGGTTAAGCAAGTAAATAAAAACGGAGAAACAATCGGATTAGGCGATGGCGGCTATCCAAAATTATTGGATGGCGAGTTTCGAATGCGGTTGCAGAGAGGCGTTGGATACGGCCGGTAGATCTAATTAAACCGTTCGGCCCGATAAAAGGCGAATACGATGTTATACGGCTCGACGTTTTCACATATTTTCCAGCTGCTAATTGTTTACTTTCAGCTGGGAATGACTCTAACTGCGAAAGTTGCAAAAGTTTTTCCTCTGAAATAACAAGTTCTGCTGGATTAATTATGGCCTTATCTGGTGATCTGAAATGTCTATGCTTAGGTGAGAGTCTCAACATATATGCGACCAGTCGCTTTATCTTGGAGAACGAGCTATACTCTTCCCAAGGGAAGGCAAAGTCAGTCGAAACTGCAGTTTACAGAAAATTGGAAGAGACATCTAAGCCCTCGTTTAGATCGTAGACCGGACCATCCAGGCGAATTTTGTCAGTAACTTC